CACATCACACATGATTAGTTCAAGGACTGTTAGAAAGTTAAAAATCAGGAGATTTTGTTCTATTTTTACATTATCTGGCTTTGATAAAGGGTGTATTTCTGATGATTAGAATTAAATGAATAACTTTTTTGTTTCTACACCCATCAGCAGCTTTACTACTGTTTGACAAAGACTCACACAGCAAAAAATTAATTTAAAAACAAATACTGTAAGTATTCATTAAATTAACAGCAAATAACTGTAACATAAATGTACATTTTTACCAATTTAAATACAGTTAAAATAATTGTAATTTTATGGTCAAACACTGTCACAGACCAGTTCACCATCAGACATTATTTACAGTTTTTGCCTGTTTCATTTCTACAGTCAACATTATCAATAACATCTTTATCTTTTTCTGTGATTCTACTTGATGTTAACAGTAAATAGTATGACACAGTTATAATGCCACAAATTTAGTTTTTTTTACAAACATCTAGATATTTTACTCCTTACAGTTTGTTTCCATACATGTCTACTGTCTGTTCTGCATCAACGCTGCCGGCAGTTCAGTTGAAAAGTTCCTGAATTTTGGACAACTGACTGTTGGCTGTAGCTGAGTCACTAAAGCCTTCACGATTGCGCAAAGGAGCACCGAATTTTTAGTTTTTTACAGAATTTGTTTCGTAGAAAGTATTTAATTTTGGCAAATTTTTAAATGAGACATGTAGAATTAAGTAGGTTTTGATGAAATATCTCAGAATATTGGAAATTAAGTTGACAACTGAATGATTCTTTGTTTTCTTACACTGTGTGGCTTTGATAAATGATGTAATTTGGGCATTTTTCTTAAAGATAACGTGACTCTTAAACCTGCCAGCTGGTTTGTGGGTTCAGAAGTCTGTTTTTGGGCCAAAATTTGAGCCAATCATTCCCTCGTCCTGACAAAAGACAAATGTTGAATGCGCGACATGTTTCTAAGTGCACACAGGTGTTCTCAATTCTGGAACAAAAAGGCAGCTCTACACACAATAGATATTCTACTATTTAGATTTTTACAGCATCTACAAACTGTGTTGTTCACGTTATTCTGCACATCAGCTGCAGAAAGATGTTGAATGTGTCTTCTAACTGCTTTCTCCTCTAAATACTGATGTTAAGTAACGCTGCATTTATTTATAAGTATGTTTTTTGTAAAGTCTAATTTGTTTCCTTGCTGGTTTCTTCTCTGCTTTATTTACTTGGTTGCCAGAGTACCCCAGTGTTAGTTCAGGGTTTTTGGATTTGAAGCACAGTGTGAGTAATACCTAGAAAACAGTAAAACGATGAGCGTTTAACCCAATTTATCTTACAGAATCTTTTTTTTTGTCCTTCTCACTTGCACCAGTGAGCTGTTTAAAAGAAACCATTCAGATTTGTTGGGTTTTTTTCTCCATAACACAATCCTGCAAGGTTAGTGTGTCAAGTGTCGGCTGTGAACTGGTGCCGTTTAAACCAAACTGAAGTGAAGTGAATGATTGCACAACGAAACACAAAGACAAAATGTGTTAAACAACTGATTGTGTCTTCGTGAGCTGAAGCCTCGAATGGAAGAAATCAATCTGAAAATCTTTTGTCTGCTTTAAAGAAGTCATTGCCGGTGAAATCAGGAGCCTGGTTTGCAGCTAAAACATCATCATAACAGGCAGCAGCCATTATTTCCTGCACACTTTTATCTGTGGTTTCTTTTGCACCTTTTGTTCGCCCTTCCTCTTATTTAAGCGCTTATAAAACACACACCTGCTTTTCTCTTCTCCCGGATAAACGCTGTGTAGGTGCTCTGGTTGAAGTACGGAGCGTTGTTGTTGACGTCCACCACGTTGATGTTCACATAAATTGGGCCTTCGACCACCTCGTCCTCCTCCAACGCCTCCACCTGGGTTTAAATCGCACACAAACACACGTATACGGGTCATTTCATGTCAGCTCACCTATGGCCTCCCAGTTGAACAAAAACCTCTGGAACCATGCAAAATCCCACATCTTAAATTTAAGACTTTACCTTTAAAAAGACTCAAGGAAATCAAAACAGTCCCTCCCGGGGGGAAAAATACTGTTAAAAAGTCCTAAAAAGTGGATTTTCCAGCTCTGGAGCTCTAGTTTTATGAAGACAAATTTTTGATACCGCACCAAATGAGATTTTGAAAAGACAAAAACTAAGTTGGTTCTACCTCTAACTGGATGGAATTTAGTGAATATTAGTGAAGATATTAAGTTTTGAAAGTTTTTGTTTGTTAGATTTTTATTATTTTAATTTCTGTAAAAAGTTATGATGAGAAAAAAACTATTACAAGTTCTGAGTTTTTCTTGATTATAAGCAGAAATAAAGCAGAAATAAGCCATTTGTGAGGCTTTAAAAGAATCACTGAAGTTGTAATATTTAACACAGAGGGCCTTTTTTTAAAAATTCACAACTCAAAAAGTATTTGGAGTAGAGCTGTGGGGTTTGTCAAGGTTCCCTGGTTTAGGTAGAATTTTTTTGCATGATTTGTTTTTTCCAAAAAAATACATGACATGAACTGGGACAAGCTCTGAAATGCTGGTGAGTTGGCATGAGATGACCCATATGTGAATATTTATGCAATTTTCTGTACCGAGAGAGCGTAGTGGTCTTCTCGAGACCAGTCCAGAGGTCTCTCCAGGAAAAGCCAGCCGTCCTTGGAGATGCTGACATCTCGTTGACCTTCACCGCTCAGCCGGAAACCGTCAACGCCTGCTTGGTCCACCTGAAACTGTGGAGTGAAAGATGGGAAAGAAAGTAGATTCTTTAAGAGCTTTTTCTGACTTTATTTGATCAAAGGGGAATATAATTTTCTGTTAAGAGATGGTTGCAGCTCAAAAGTGTCTATTGGGAGACGATCCACACATTTAAGGGCAGCAGATGAAGCTCTGACATTAGATAACAGCGCTTTGATAACGCTGTTCCTTTAAAGACAAAACATCTTTAATGGTTTTATTATGAAAATGCACATTTATTTCACTAGACAGAGTGTAGAAGAAGGACGAGCACATCCAGAAGCTGCAAACACAAAATAGATGAATTTGTGACATTTTTATTCAACTAGACCTTCATCGGGCTGAAACTCGGCACTGATCTTTAACTTTTTGTGGCTCCTTTTGACAGAAAATGTTATTATCATTATGAAAACCTTAAAAAAAGAAATTATAAAACTCATTTAGTAAGCAATGTCTATGTGTGCATGAATAAAAATCTGTCCTTCTGGCTGGCAGGCATCTGTGAAGGAAGTTCTCTGAACCTGAAGTGAAGAAATACGCCAACAGGAGTATAAGTTAAAGTCAAAATCCTACTTAAGTATAGAAGGACTGCTACTGCATGCGGCTATTGGTGCATTATCAGTTTCTTAACATGCTGCTTGCTTGGTTTTTTTTAACCTATGTGTTATATTTATTATAGGCTTTTAGGTTATTTATCATTTATACCATCCATCCATCATCTATACACCGCTTAATCCTCACTAGGGTCGTGGGGGGCTGGAGTCTATCCCAGCTGACTCAGGGTGAAGGCAGGGGACACCTGGACAGGTCACCAGTCTATCACAGGGCTACACTTAGAGACAGACAACCAAGCACACTCACATTCACACCTACGGACAATTTAGAATCACCGATTAACCTCAACATGGTTCTGGACTGTGGGAGGAAACCGGAGAACCCGGAGAGAACCCACGCTGCACGGGGAGAACATGGAGACTCCACGCAGAAAGATCCCAGGTGTCCTCACCGGGACGCGAACCAGCGACCTTCTTGCTGCGAGGCAACGGTGCTAACAACCCTCATTTATACACAATAATGTTATTTATTCTGTACGCCGCTGGACGTGGGCAACGAATGTTTGAACATGTTTGAATGACAGTAAACTGAAGTATTCTTCTCTGAAGTGTATTTAAAGTATTTAAAGTAAAAGCAGCTGGCATTAGCAACTGATAAATGATGATATATTACATTTTCAGATTATAAATATTAATACAACAGTGCTAAGTGACATTAAACTGCAGTAGCTCATCCATTTGCAGCTGACTTGATATTTTATACATAGGTGCTGCTACCAGATTTGAATACAGAATTACTCTTTTAGTGAATGTAGTGGCAATTATGCAACTCAGGCGATAGGGCTTAATAACACAGTCAGTAAGTAATACAGTGACATGCATGATACAGGAAGCAAGAACCCAAACTAATGCATCACATTTTAAAAACACAACAGGTAATATGTAACGCATTGCTTTTTTTGGAGTAATAACCCTAACTACGAGTGTAAACACTGTGATGTTCTTTCCTACCTCTGCGGCAAAGTGTGTCGTACCTGATAAATTGGAAACTGCACCGGCGTTCCCTCCAGAACCTCCAGCACTGTGTTCTCAAACGGGCCCTTCTTGTCCTCCAGATCCTTCCCCGCAGCCTATCAGGAGCAGAGGTCAAAGCTTACAGTACAGTCGCACGCCGAGGCAAAGTTAAACCTCCTGCAGCTTTTTACAGCCCGGTTATTAATTGAACCAAAATTACACGCCAAGAAGGTAGATTCCTACGCTCGCGGAAGAGCAAAGTCTGCAGACGGAGCTTTAAAAACCCTTCAGACGCCATTTTTAAATAAGTTACCGAAGGTTTTCTTGCACTATATCTCGTTAACCGTGCAACATTTTCCTTCCTGTGCAACAAACCTGCTCCAGATAGAACAAATCGAAGCATTTCACAGATCTGTTTAACAGGTTTGAGTATTTATTGTTTTAATGAATATGTATGGAAGAGGACAGCAGCTGCGTACTCACAATGCCGAGGAGGATCGGGAGCAACAGCAGATGCATCACGGGTGTCATGATCACAGCCTGCAAGGGAGGAAGAGGAGGAGGAGGAGGATGAAGAGGAGGGAAAAAGAGGAGGTCGAGGTGACACGAAGAGGAGGATTTTACACATTTAAATGCACCTCACAGTGGATGTAGTAATCTATTACTGCTGTGTAGGAACCTTTAAACCCCGGCGGGCCTCTTCTGCATTCGAGCACAACGCGTTATTGATTCACGAAGACGAAAGTGTCCTTGAATCCACACGTGTGCGCTATCGCTATGGGAACTAGGAGTGCTTCATGTGTGCGACTCCACCTTCACGGCCAGGTAAGCGGCACACCTGAGGAGAAACTGAAAACCAGGCCAAGTTTGCTCCTTCCGCCGCAACTCAGATCCCAGCGATCAGGTCAAAGTGTGTGACCCAGATGACTTTATGGCAGTCTGAGAGTCGAGAGTAACACCGTGGGCCAGATTCTAGCAAAAAGTCTGCCAGCTTTGTGCTCGAAAATGAGAATCCGACTCAAATTTACTGCACCTCTGACAGATTCATTTAATCAATTTACACCTCAGACGCGTCAATGCGGCTTTAAAACCGTATCTTTAGCGCTATAAAACTCAAATATATGATATTTAGTCTCCTACTGGACAGCCGAAACCATAAATAATCATCAGTGGAGGATTGTAATTGGTGGAACGAGCCCAAGGACAAGGACATTTGCCAATAATACAAAAACTTATGAGTAAGAAATTCAGCTGCTTATCTCTGCAGAGGCGACCTACTCAGATCTTTTGTCAATAAAGGAGAGATCTTGATAATGTCTCTGCTGTGAGTCATTTTGAGCATAAAGCAAAGAAGTTATCAGAATCAGATTAATTGGACATGCATGTACGACTCTTTTCTTTGCCCTAAAAGCACACATTTAAATGAAAGCAACAGGTAAAAGAAAGGAAAATGAGTGTTTACGTACCACGCACAGCTATAGATTCAGATCATAGGAATAAACATAGTTATTAACAGTAAACACAGAGTTATTGACACTTCATAGATAAAGTGGTTTGGAGCTGCAGCGGTTGTGAAGAAGCTGTTTTTCGTTTGATTGGCTTTAGCTCAGCGTTCTCCTGAAGAATAGATGGATTACCATGGTAAAACTACAAAATGTAAACTAAAGCAGCATTTATTTCATGATAGATGGGCATTGTGTCGATAAATCAACACGTTTCTAGTGAAGTTCAGGTGAAAGACAAGAGTGAAGTCAGCTGCCTGAGTGAAGGTGACATTGAGTCGTGGCTAATGACCTTTTTGCAGCCGGGCTCGCTTTAAACGTCGCCACCATCGACGAACACTCCTCGTTTTTCTACATTTAATCAGTATTTCTGCATCCACGCATTAAAAATGTCTCCTGACTTGAATTCATTTACCTAGCAGGTCACCTCTACCTGCATTAGCAGCTTCTAGACGTCTGCCTACAACTGACTTCCGTCAAGGAAATTATTTATTAACGCAAGATTAACATGGAGTAAAATCACACCTTTTCTTTAAGCGTTCAAAGACTGGATGACCTCTAAACTTCAGCAGCTGTGATGCCAAACTTAGCAGATAATTTGCCTTCGCATTCCCAAATGTTGAGAATAATCCAGGAGGCCACGGATAGGAAGGCATTAGTGCTCAGATACGCCTTAAACTGAGGCCCTGCCAAAGTCAAACCAAGATCACAGCCCTCCTGCAACAATCTTAAGCCTTTTACTGTCAGGCAATCTGTTAAAACCAACGCTGACAGTCCTGTTCAGTTCTTGTCACACCCCAAATATACTCCCAAAACAGTCAACAACCCCTGAAAGCCAGGAGACAGAAGAGCGAGGCGTCTTACCTGAACTGGAGACGACGAGTGACTCACACTTCAGAGAGATCCCAGCAGCTCCATCCTGTCTGGTCAAACGTTAACTAAGCGCTAACCAGTGATGTTTTATTGGATCTAATGATTGTCTAATCACCCGGCCCTCATATCGCCTTGGCCAATGGGGAAGCAGCTGACAGGAGCGACGGGAGGAACAGAACAAAGATACATACTGTACTACGACTGACGAGCCCATTTTCACTTAATATCAGCTGCCAATTTTACATAAATCCTCTAATTCTTACAGATTTAATTGTTATTACGATAAAAAAAAACACTGCAAAAGATTTGAAATTCTTTGGCAGCATGTGTGCCAATTGGGGGGGTAAAAAAAGAGGAATAAATACAAAAAAAAGGGGGGCTCTAATAACAGAGGAAAATTCTCTAGAAATGTGTTGTTCAGCGTTTAAGTTTGTAATTTCTCCTCAGACTTTGACCTCTTGCTCCACTGTTTCCTGTCAGATTTTCCATTAGTAGCGCCGCCTGATAAGGAGCTGAGTGTGCGGACAACAACGCTAACAGATTGCACCGGCAATCCATTGCCTCATGCAAAGCCTCGAGGTCATCGGGGTGACTCAGCAGGCCATCGCATGTATAGAAACTCTTAAACAGCAGGTCTGATTTCAGCTCATGACCTCGCTTCCTGTTAAACTCTTCTCACCTTTTAGAAGCAAAAACATAAAGCTTCAGAAATGTCTTGAAATGTAATTGAGAGAAGATGTACGTCTCTACTCCCTAATCTGACCTTTCTATTGGCTGGAAATGACATAAACAAGAGACAAAAGACAGTAAGACATTGTGTTAGAGATGTTTATGATGAATCTGAACTATTTCTTGGCTTTTCATGTCCAAAATTATTCATCCTCTTCCTCAGTAATCAGTGTCAAAGTCTTTATTTTCCTCCACATCAGTCCAACAGCTGTTCTAGTGTCTAACAGTCTTTTTGGGGTTTTGTTTCTCCAAGTGTCCATCTGCAGCTCTTGGAGCTTGAAGGCTTCCTCTCCATCACTCTGCTCTTCAGCTCTTCCACAGGTTCTGGATGGATTCAGGTCTGGACTCTGGCTGGGCCGCTCCAACATCTCCTCATTGTTTCCTCTTCAACGTTTCTTCACCACTTTGGCTGCATGTTTCACATCATTGTCTTGTTGAAGCTCCACTGCTGCCCACAGAGCAGTGTTCCTGCAGACCTCCTGATGTTCTCCTCCATAATATCAATGTCTCCTCTGTTTCCACGTTCCACCACCATGTTGGACCGTGGGGATGCTGCTCTTGGCCTTGAATGCTTCTCCTTTCTCTGTGTCCAAACATCTCCATGTTGATGAAGTGATGAGCAGCAGCTTTCTTCTTTGTCTTGAAGAAGTGGATCCTCCTTGGTCTCCATGGAGACCAGCCTTGTTGTTGGTCTGCTGGAGTGTCTGATTGACATGTTGCTACCAGAACTGCTCACATTCATCAGGATGCTCTTGGTGCTGATTCTAGGGTTCTTCTGGGCCTCCACCATTCTTCCAGTGCAGGGCTCACGTCTGTCCTCCTGCAGCCCTTTGACATGTTCCACAGTGAGGAACTCCTTGAAAACACTTGATATGACTTTATAGCCTTTAAATGCCTTGTGAGCAGCAACAATGTGCAACTGGAGGTCCTCACTGAGCTTTTTGGCTTATTTCATGACTTGTAGTTGACTAGAGAACTACTGCATGCCCTGCTCTCAGTTTATAGTGGATTAGAACGCTCTGGAACATGGTAGAAATTAGCAAAACCACTTGGAATGATACAGAAGAAGCATTTTCTGAAAAATCAGCAATTAAACATTTTTACTAAAATGTTTAAGAAATTTAAAAAATACTTAATATTCACACGTCTTACTGTCTTTTGCCACTTGTTCGTGTCATTTCCAGCCAGAAGCAGCTTCATGGGCAAATAAAAACTCTATATATGACAATCTGACGTGGGTTGAATGGGCTCAGCCTTATATCTGGGATTATCTTCCATACATTCTGATTCACACGCTGCCATTCCTGAGCTGAGAGCTTTACAAGCTCTCGAAAGCTGCTTGGAAACAGAGCAGAGAATTGTGTGAATCTGCAACTGTAGAAAAACAGGCTGTGGGTGAGTCACCGCTCCAGACTCGCTGTTTAACCAGAACCTGTGACTGTGGTGCTGACGGTTCAGCAGGCGAAGCCTCGCACACAGATGGAAGTTATGTAAAGCATGTGTCCACTGCGAGCAGGAGGCCTGATAGATGTTGCGGCCAACATGCAAAAAAGACCACCTGCCTGGATCGAACATGCAAAACGCTCAAACACTTCATGGGCACCTCTGAGCGTTACCTTGGCAACGCATTTTCCTGTTTCACCGCTTTTCCGAACAAATCAAGTTTGGGGTCTGAGCTGACGGCATCTGAGCTTGACGTTCGGTGTCACACTGTGACCCAGATCTCTGATCAGTCTCTGAACACTCAAACCGCTGCATCCAATCAGATGACAAACACAGAACGGACCCATTTTGCTCCTCAAAGTTCAGCTTTAATGTCATCATCTGACTCATCTCTTATCAGATGAGTTGCTGTAAACCCCATTTTCCTAAGTGTGTCTCTTTTGTCTGGAAGCTGAGTCACACAGGGGTGGAGAAAAGGAGCAGTCTCGGGTGGCCACGACCCCTAAAAACAGAAGTCTGGCTACACAAACACAAGCAGTAACGAAGCCTAGAGGGCAACACAAATAGAAATGGAGTTACATCCAGCAGCTGCTGTTTTTCTGGCACAACTTTTTTCTACAGGTGTTTTTTTTCTCCATCACTGTAAAAACAGGTGGGCTGCAAGGTGGCTCAGTGATTAGCACTGTTGCCTCACAGCAAGAAGGTTGCCAGTTTGAGTCCCGGTGAGGACACCCGGGATCTTTCTGTGTGGAGTTTGCATGTTCTCCCCGTGCAGCGTGGGTTCTCTCCGGGTTCTCTGGCCTTTTCCCACAGTCCAGAAACATGTTGAGGTTAATTGGTGATTCTAAATTGTCTGTAGTGTGTGTGGTTGTCTGTCTCTAAGTGTAGCCCTGTGATAGACTGGTGACCTGTCCAGGGTGTCCCCTGCCTTCACCTTAAGTCAACTGGGATAGACTCCAGCCCCCCACGACCCTAGTGAGGATTAAGCGGTGTATAGATGATGGAAGGATGGATGGATGAATACAAAAACAGATGTTTGTGCTCAAAATAAATTCATGCAACAGGTTGCATAAATCTTTTTGAGTTATGATAACCTCTAATTAAGTTAAGTTCAACAACAAAATCCATTAAGTTAGGGGAAGTTAGCCTTTTCTTAACAAAGGTATTTTTAATTACCACTTACTTATTAAACACAACGTTTTAGGTAAATTTGTCATATAAACTGAGTTGTTCCAACAACTTTTAACACACTATTTTAAAGGAAAGTGTTGTTTTTATTTACCATCGTTATGAATACAAGTTTTTAGGTTGACAGAGGTCTTTTTGTATGCAGTAGCGCTGACGAAATTAATTAAATCAGTGACATAACTGTAGTCATGTTAGTGTTGTGTTTGAACACAGCTGATATTACCTTGGAAAACGTCGTCTTAAAGTGTAATTTTTATAGTATCTGTTCAACCTACAGGCCCATTAGCTGGTTTAAACTTAACTGTCTGGATTTACGCAGGCATTCAAGTTTTCAAGCCAAATTTCTTTACGTTAATACAACTCGAAGTTAGTTTTAAATCAATTATTGTACACATTTGAGTTTAAATTACACACATTAGGTTGAAGCATTTATCAAAATGATTATGTCAAAACAATTCATCAAAAAAAAGGTAAAGGGGTTAACCTAAATTGGTGGTTTTTTTTGTCTTGCAACCATGCCTTTGAACTGTTTTGTTAGAATAAAAGGACTGAATTACCTTTTCAAGCTCATAGATGTATTTTTAAAAGCGCTACCATCCCCCATTCAACCACACACAACCAAGTAGGTCCGACCAACCAGAAAATGTTCACACTGATTTTGGTACCATTATAATTTCTGATTAGAAATGTTGAAACAGTCTCAAACATTCTCCACCGCACTGTGTTGGTGCTGGAGAATGGTCTGACTGCATCTCATTATTATTCTACTACAGGAGGAGAAACAGTCGGGTGTGTTTGTGTTTCTTTCAACCAATCACAATTATCTTTTATGGAGCTTAGCCCAGGATGCAGTGATGGTACCCCTCAAAATAGTTTCAGTGGGTTTTGGTGGAACACACAGGGAGACGAGTGCTATTGATAAAATTGATAATTCACTGAAAGAACTGAGCCTTACTCAATGAATGAAATCCTCTGCAAAGTTTAAATTTTAACGTGGAGTTTGTCATTCACCTTAGTGAAGGGAATTCTGGAAACGCTAACATGCAGATAGTAGAAGAGAAGGAGAAATTCTACATGAAACGTGTGGCTGAAATGGTAGATTTATACTCGATGTCAACATCCGGTGAGTCAGACTAAGGTTGAGACAACAGACCAAACCGACAGCAAGTTTTTCTCCAAATAAGCTGATGTCACTTTATTTCATCAAGCAAATACTGAAACTACTTCCAAGTACCAAAATACAGCAACATTATCAATCTGGTATTTATTTACAGTAAGTGCAAAATACATAAACACGTTATAAATAAAGTAAATACTCAAATATCGTCAAACAAATAACCGAAAGACATTAATCACACATAATAATCAGTAGTTTACAACTGGTCATATGAGCACTTGGGAATCAACAGTCAATGAATCTGGCGAGAATCGGAGCAAACTGATGAGGAAAGAAGAGAAAGGAGAGAAAAATGTTAGCGTCTTAGTTCAAAACTTTTCTCAGTTTCCGTCAGCTGATCTCTAACTTCTCCAATGTGTCCGTTTTCACTTCGTAAGCTGATTGTTCGGTGCGTTAAACAGGCTGACAACCTGAACCCAGTCCAGTCAGGCTGCAACGTGCGGAAAACACCTCTCGTATGCATCGTCCTGGCTTTGTGGAGGTTGGACGTGAACTCCATCCGTCTCCGGCCCGTCAGAAACAGGCTTCCCTCCAGCCCTGTGCACAGATTCTGCTCTCCAGCCCATAACGTTTAAGATTTCTGATCGTGCATCAGCCGCCTACAGCACGGAGAGATCGTGGCAGGATTTGGATTTTAGCCAGAACGCCACACTGGGGTTGTTCTTCGCTACAATCTTGTCCAGGAAGCGTTTGGCCTTTGTGGGGAGGCTCTCGCGTCGACCGTTGCGCGTGTTTATGTGCCTGCGACGTTTGTTGGCTTCTTTGGAGTCTCGGCGAAGACGCAGCTGTCGCACAATGCCGTGGAAGGCCTGCCAGACGTTGTGCTGCATGGCGGCCGACGTCTCGATGAACTTGCAGTCAAACACAGCGGCGCAAGCACGACCCTCTGAAACAGGCAGGAGAACAGAGTTAGAAAACGTGCTATTATCAGAAAAACAATGATTCTTTAATGCACCACCACCTGCTTATGTAGCAAATGCTTCTTCCCAAACTTCAAGGACTAAAGGTTCCTCAGTTTCATTGGTGTCATTTGGTGTCATATTACTTTCTCAATTAATCAGTCAATCATTTGGTCTGTTAAGCATCAGAAATGTTGTCACAGGTTCCCGAATTCCAAGTTTGACATCTTGTAAAATATTCCTCCGTCTAATCAAGAACCCAAAATATTAAAACAAGACCATGATTTACATTTTTCACTGTTTTCTGATGCGTTAAAGACCGAACAGCTAATTGATTAATCAGTTAATGATCACAGCAATGACAAATGCTCATCACAATAAAGTCTAAATTCTCTCATTGCAGCCTCTGAAATGTGAATATTTTCTGGTTTTCTTTCCTCCTTTATGACAGAAAACTGAATATTTTTGAGTTGTGAAAAAAAAAAAAAACACTACCGATCAACATGTTTTTACAGTTTTCTCACATTTTATAGACCAATAAATGAAAAACAGCGAGAAATTCTTGTCACAATATCCCACCTCCCATGTTGGCATCTTGTGATATGTTGCTCTGTCTGACCAAGGACCCAAAATATTAAATGTATTCTAATGGAAGGGGCCCAGAAATGCTGCAAATGTCAAATTCCTTTTGACTTTTTATTGCTGAAAATAATTATCAATGAGGTGGGTCCAAAAACAACTATCTTGAAAATGGTTATTATTTTGGAGAAGCATTTATGCTGCAGAAAGAAACTGTTTTTTGATGGTTCTTTGAGGCACCTTTGTGGGTTAGTTTTGGCATTATTGGTATAACTTCTCCTGGTTGAGCAACCAGCTGTTGCAGCATGATGGACGCCACCAGTAATGAAGATCCCAATTCTTATGGAGGGTTGCTTGATGCAAAAATTTAGTAGTTGGAGGAATGAAACTCTAGATACAGACCGTTTTGAACTCTTTCAAGCTGCAGACTTTGGATTTAGATTGAAATAACAATCTATGTTTTATAACCAACATTCCCGTCTCCCTGTTTTAGGTCAGCACGACACCCCAGTAGAAACCACAAATCTTCATTTTGTGACGCGACCTCCACCTGTGACAGTACTAAGGGTTCTTCATTTTTATTGGAGGTATTTGGTAGATGGAGACGACTTTAAGCTTTTGATGACTCTCAAACAGCAGACTTTGGGTTAAAGGGAGAAGCCAGGAGGGAGATTTTGACTCTGTAAGGAGCAAATAGAAACACCAGCCACAAAATATTTGACGCTCCTCTTGAAATGAACAGCTGGACTGGACACCAGACACTTTTAGCCCACTCAGAGGTATTATTTTTCATTTTTTCAAATTGTTTTTTATGCCACGTTTTAGTGTTTTTGAACCAAAATCTCTGTTTGCATGCTGGGTTTTGTGACAGCTCTCTCACTAAAAGGTTCTTTGTGGAACTAAAAATGGTTCATTCAATCGCTGTAAGGTCCCATTTTTGATTCTGGTGTAGAAAGAAAGCTGCACCCAGTGATTGTTAGTGTACTCACCACTAACTGACACCTCTCTGCGTCGCACCAGGTCACACTTGTTCCCCACCAGGATGATGGGCGTGTGGTGGGCAGGGTGGAAGCGACGGAGGCTTATCCGCAGCTCGGAGGCTCTGAGGAAGGAGGTCCGGTCGGTTATGGAGTACAGCAGCAGGTAGGCATCGCCTGTCTGCATGTAGCGCTCCTGGGCCCATTCATTATCAGGCTGCAGAGCACAAAATCAGTTAGATCAAGCATGTAGAGTACAGTCTGTACAGTGTGAGTCATGCTTCATCTCACCTCTGCATCCCAAGTGTCGAGCAGAGTTATCGTGACGGGCTCTCCGTCCACTTCAATTTCCTTTTCACACACTTCATCTGAAATCAAAGCAAAACCACAGATTTATAGCCCTGAAGTGTGTCAACATCACATCAGTCACAGCCTATTGTTAGAATACCTGCACGATTATGATATTATTCTAGGAAATTAAAAAGGCTGTGGTTAATAATAGTTTGTTTTTTTTTGTTTTTGTGTGACTTTGCAGCCTCTAGAGCTGCAACAACTAACCGATTAGTTGAGTATTTGATTATTTTCTTACATATCCTAAGAGAGTACATTCAAAAAACATACAAAAAAAATAGATAAATAGGTAAATGAAACAGCCAAATACGTGTTTACTGTGATAACACCACTCAGGCACGTACTTTATCTGCACAAATGACAATTAAATATCAAAGTAAAATTATATGTACAACATTATATATCATAACAATCCACTATAAAAAACATTTTTTATCTTCATTGGGCTTTAACAGATGCTCCTCAGTAACCACCCCTTAGTTAAGTCTAGAATGCAGTAGCAGTGCAACGATTGATTGACTGGTTTTCAACTTTTAAAATAATTACAAACAATTCTAATAACTCAGTTTTAAGACAAAAAACAGTCCACATTCTCTGATTGCAGCTTATTAAATGTGAATATTTCCTCCTCTATGAAAACACACGACACTGTTTATTATTTTCTGTCATTTTCTAGACCAAACAACGAATTGAATAATCTAAAAAACTAACAGACAATAAGAAAATCATTTGTCTTTTACAGAGTCGCTGGATTGTTTGAGCTCATTTTAAATTCATTATATTATGAAGAAAAGACAGATGAATGTATTAAGTTCTCACCTCCACACAGCTCGCAGTCGTCGCTGTCCATACTGTCCGCCGCCCCGGCGAAGATGCTGGCGAAGGCCGTCTTACCGACCCCGCTGGCCCCCAGCAGCACCACCCGGTACGGGCTCCCGGGATCCGCCGCATCCCCGGAGGAGTCGGTGGAGATGACCGAGTCCGAGGAGGACCAGCTGCCGCGGCTTCCATCCGACTCCCCGGCGGAGCTGTTGCAGGACTTGGAGCGGGAGATGCAGGCGGGGACGCGCGCCAGGAGGCTGTCCGGGAGCAGGTGGCTGCCCGGGTCGCAGATGCTCCAGCGGTGGAGCTCGGTCTGCAGGCGGAGGCTGTGGCGGCGCACACTGGATAGCATGGTGCCAAAATGAGGATAAACTGGACTAAAGACCGACGTGGGATTTTCTGAAGAGGTGCTTTAGCCTCTTTTAGGGAAAAACACCCCAAATCAAATTGAATCTTCCTAAAAGTAGTTTTAAATGTGCGTAAAAAGTGCGTAAAAGGTGCGTAAAATGTGTCCTAAACCAAAAAAAGGACAGTAAAGTGAGTGTGAGTTCTTCCTCTACATCCCTGCTGCAGCTACAGCTCTGCAGCAAGTCAGCACAACCTCAGCAAGGCGGATAAAAACAGATCAGACTGTTTCAACGAGTTCAGACGCGCAGTGGAAATATTTCTTGCACTGCAGAAAGACGTTTGGTCGGTAAATCCGGGGCTGGTGTTGTCTTGATGTGTCTGCTGCCTCACTAATCTCCAGCTGAGTGTCTCTAATGCTCTGATGGGGTTTCCCTGCAGTTTATATAGAGGGCAGACGGGTGGGGGCTGGTGGGTGGGTGAGTAGGGGGGAGTCACACAAGTGGAGCAGGGGATGTTCAGCTGCGTATTTACTGTTTTGATTCATGCGCACATGGCCCTGCAATGAGCAACAGCTCAGAAAGTGTTTACAGCAGGAAGGATTGTGCAACAAACCAGAATCACAGCCCAGAACATACAGCTGCTGTAGATCACCTTTATATGATGTCTGACTAGAAGATCTGCTGCTGTATTTAAAATAAGAAAAGCATGATGCTAGTGGAGGAATTTAAACATGAGATGTTCCACTTTATGTCACAAAAGCATCAGTTTAAAATACTTCTTTATCCAATAATTGTCATGTATAGATGAAATGGACACACAGGACACAAGCTGCAGCCCAGGTCTGAGTAAAATGAGAGGGAATGCAGCTTTGAACTGTAACACATTGGTGGGTCGGTTTTTTAAAACAGTTTTAATGTTAATTTTTTAAAAATAATTTACTGTTATCTTACAGATTTTCCATATTTTGCTAAATTACAAACAATGTCTAATAAAATCACAGAAAAAACAGCAATTTACACTCAGGACACATTAGTTCTAGTGTTTAATGGGTGTTATTAAATGGTTTTATGAATGTTTTTATGAATATTTTATCTTGATAGTCTTGCATGTTTTTGGTTTTTATGTTATTTTTTATGTTGTGAATATCCACTCAGGGGCACTTTCAATTTTGTTGTTGTCATACAATGACGATAAAGACATTCTGATTCTGGTTAAGTGTAAAATATATATATATAGGTGGTCAAAAATCCGTATTTTTAAAAGTTGTATCTCGTTATTGACAGAGTTTGGCAGCGAAATTACACATTTGTTTGCTAAACTTTAATCAGCAAAATATATACGTGTTTTTTTTTTGGATTGCTTTTTAAATGTATTTGCCTTCATTTGAGAGAAAAATCATGTATATTAAATATTTTAATCAACTGCTATTTTACAGATTTTCTGTGTTTTCATAAGTTTCACATAATTTGTGGACAGCATTCATTTGCATGTTGACTGTAAAAGTGAAAAATGTGTTTTCTTGAAGTTGTAATTCGTTCTTTTACAATATGTGACTAGAATTACACTGTTGTACTTTATTTACATCCATTAAAAATATCAGTTTCATAGATTTTTCACTCCTGCTGCCACTTTTTTTTTAAAACATAATTTTTACAATGCACTTTTATATGAATGCTTAGGAGAAATATTGTGTTTAATTATAAGATATTGTTAATATTTACGTCTAATTTTATACTAAAAACCAGTGACAAGTTTATATATTATGATTCGTTGCAATAGTTTAACAACATAAATGTTCAGGACTAAGTAGTAGTTTTTTAAAAATAGTTTCTTACACTTCCTGCTACATTAAATCCACATTAGTTTATCAACCAAAATCATTAATCTGTGCTCCAGAAGTGTGAAACCATGTAATGACAGGATGGCACTGATTTCATTTACATATCCTCGTACATAAGAATTAAAGTTGTGTAATTACACTGTTAAAAGTAAGGTTTGAACCAAGCTTGTATGAGGCAGACAGCACCAAACATGAAGATCTTCTGTTCACAATCATGTTAAAGAAAAGAGGCAAACAGTTACAGTTCAGAAGCTGAAATTATGGAAGGTTTTGTGTTTTTTGTTCTAAAACGACTTGATTATCAAAATAGCTATTGTACTGATTAATGATGAATCCACTAGTGGCTGCAGCTTTAGATTAAAATCTTTAATGGAAACTGCACCTTAAAAAAGCTTTTAACGCCGTCTGTGCAGGCTGCGATGTTCAGCACATCTACTTTAGCCCAAACTGTTTCTTGTTTAGTGATTCCCTGCTTTCAGGATTCCTCTTAACTGTTGCATTCATGTACGAGATGTGTGGGAGGAACGAACAATGCTGGAAGCTCTTCCACTTTCTGATGAACGCCGCAGCGCAAATGTTAAGAAAAACCCGCTGACGTCTGAGACAGTTGAATGTGTCAGTGAATGATGCCTGCAGGGAAAGAATAGGATTAAAAGTTTGAAATGTTTCATCAACATGAAAATACAATCAAGTATCGAGAACCGTCAAGTTTTACAGGAACACGTGTAGAAGTTTGTCCTTTGTGTGCAGAAAACAGTAGATCCATGATTTTCAAGGACCCTCCTCTTTATCTCTGTCTTCAAGAACACTCAACATATAATTATATAATTATATAAGAATACAATGCAGCTGGATTCAGAGTTGTACATTTGTGTAGTTGGTCCTTTTCATAGCAGAAGATCTGAGCTTGAAGGCTTCCTCTCTATCACTCTGCTCTTCAGCTCCTCCACAGGTTCTGGATGGATTCAGGTCTGGACTCTGGCTGGGCCGCTCCAACATCTCCTCATTGTTTCCTCTTCACCGTTTCTTCACCACTTTGGCTGCATGTTTCACATCATTGTCTTGTTGAAGCTCCAATGCTGCCCAAGGAGCAGTGTTCCTGCAGACCTCCTGATGTTCTCCTCCAAAATATCAATGTCTCCTCTGTCTCCACCTTCCACCACCATGTTGGACCGCGGGGATGCTGCTCTTGGCCTTGAATGCTTCTCCTTTCTCTGTGTCCAAACATCTCCATGTTCATGAAGTGATGAGCAGCAGCTTTCTTCTTTGTCTTGAAGAAGTGGATCCTCCTTGTCTCCATGGAGACCAGCCTTGTTGTTGGTCTGCTGGAGTGTCTGATTGACATGTTGCTACCAGAACTGCTCACATTCATCAGGATGCTCTTGGTGCTGGTCCTTGGGTTCTTCTTGGCCTCCACAATTCTTCCAGTGCAGGGCTCACGTCTGACATGATCAGTAGCTGACCACAGACCTACTGAATCAGCTGTTCTCTATTTATAGTGTGTTAGAACGCTGTAGAAATGACCTGGAACATTTGTAATGACAAAAAAGCAAAATTTTCTCAAAGGCTTGTGACAATTTCAAAGGATATAAACAATTTTGAGCTTAATGTTATTAGCGGGCTGCAGGGTGGCGCAGTTGGTAGCACTGTTGCCTGGCAGCAAGAAGGTTGCCGGTTTGTGTCCCAGTGAGGACACCCGGAATCTTTCTGCGTGGAGTTTGCATGTTCTCCCAGTGCAGCGTGGGTTCTCTCCAGGTTCTCCGGCTTCCTCCCACACAGTCCAAAAACATGTTGAGGTTAATTGGTGATTCTAAATTGTCTGTAGGTGTGAATGTGAGTGTGCTTGGTTGTCTGTCTCTAAGTGTAGCCCTGTGATAGACTGGTGACCTGTCCAGGGTGTCCCCTGCCTTCGCCCTGAGTCAGCTGGGATAGACTCCAGCCCCCCGCGACCCTAATGAGGATTAAGCGGTGTATAGATAATGGATGGATGGATGGATGTTATTAGCAAAAAGGTTGAAAAACACATAACTAGTTCAAATTCATCATGACCGTTGCTAACACAAACCCCTTGTTGCTTGTTTCTGTCATTTTCAGCTGAAACAAACTTACTGTTTAAACCTAATTTGGTGTGGGTATAAAACATCTTTGGCTCAGCTGCACACTTCTGTTGTTTCATTCCTCATAAAAAAACACCTGCTGATTAAAGTAGTGAAAGAGAGAATATCTGATCCACACCTCTGCTGTCGTCTGTCCAACCTGGCAGATGATTAACAGAAGTTACACAATACAACATGCGTCAATGAAGAAAGCATAAATTATGTCTTAGTCCTAGTTTCTCTCTTCAAATTGAACCTCTGCCTCGACATACTGCTGCTACACATCACACATGAAGTAATAAGGAGGTTATATTTTCATACACTCAATCATTGTGACACTTTCAAGACACATACTGTCACCACAAGTCAAGAGTTTCTTTAAAAATGCAACTTCAGGAAACACATCCAAACCTTAAACACAGATGTTTTCGTGTCGTACTGAAGTAAACGAAGCTGCATCTGAAGTGAAAGACACAAGGTGTGGCTCAGAACTGATAACCGTCTTTTATATCAAAGGATCTGCCAACCAGACTGCCTTATCTGGCACATTTATCAGCTGTAATTCTGCAGACAATGATATCTCTCCTGCCTCATATTCCCATCACCACCTACAAAGTCTTCTACGTGCACCATAAAAAAAAAACAGAAAAGAAAAATAGGTCAAAACTGTATGAACCTCCACAAAAATCTGTATTTTTACAAATGTTTTTTTGTTTGTTTTGTAGTGTTGAACCATAAAATTAGTTTATATCAGCCAAATAATATCATTACTATACAGATTTTTATTTTTTTATTTTTTTTTAATGTTGCAGTATTTTAACATTTCTGACGCATTTACTTTCTGGCACCTTTGCTGTGAGATTTTTAATTGGTTGAAATTGATTTTCCAGGAAAAAAAAAAAGTCTTATTTTACGTGTTAACTATTTAAAAAAAATTTAATTAATTAATACAACTGTCATTAAAAACAATGTATATTTTTACAAATGGAATTTATTCTTTTACAAAGTTTAACTATTAAATTACACAATTTACAAATAAATTATTTTACTGTATTTAAATTTATTTGA